GGGCAGCTGATCAGACCGTTTTTCATTTTCCATTTACACGATATAGCACAACCCATCTTTGAGAGTTTGTTGCGGGCCACGGACCCTGCTCAACTCAGCATTAGCCTCCAGGTGATAACAAACAGCTGTCCAGTGCTTCCGAGCTTTTCAGTTCACGCTTCATTTGCTATATACACGACGAATTATCATTTGAAACTTAATCAAATCCTCCAATGCCCACATGCAAATATGTCACAGGTGAGTCCCGCGAAATTCCTCTTCATTTTAGAAAATTTGACAAACAACCTGGTGGTGAAAAATATATGAGAAGCTTCAAATGCGTACCGCTCAATCTCACGTGACTGCATATTGAGAAGGTACCATAAGTCTCCTCCCCCCAAAAGGGCAAGAATCTATCCTACGCTCCACTAGTCGCCAGTACTCCCGATGGCAGCTTTACCAACATAACCACAGAGGAAGCAACCATAGTCGGGATTCTCAACCGCAAATTAAAATCACCTATGAAACCATTCTACACTCCAGAAAATGAAGTCAATGGCCCAATCAAGGTACCCACCATTTGACCGCTAGCTGGGATGATAGGGCCACTAGGTAACTCACTACACAAGGCATTCACATCAGCTCCTACCCCGGTGCAATCTAAACCTTATTTCTTCAAAACTAAAAAGCAAAGGAACAATCTTCCTGCACCAAAACCCGTACTGTTGGGAAGCGTCGCCAGGTTACTCCCAGAGCGAAAGCTAAGACAGGACTGTAACAAAAATAAGACGCCAGCCCCCTGTCCCCTAGAGACCGCTCTCGCCCACCAGACAGAGTGAAGCCACAAAACACTGGCAAGTCAACCTCGCCAGTACGCGACATGGATGCCAAACACATGGCACTACCCTCCAAGAAGCTCTCGCGGGTGCCATGACCCCCTCGGAGTAAAAAGGTAGAAACAACGTAATGACCTTAACTGAGACGTGGCTCAATCAATAGATACTAGATGGCGAACTAATGATAGATGGTTTCAATTTGTTCAGAAAAGACTCAAACCGTAGCCACGCGGGTGGAGTGACACTCTTGCCTAATGATTCCCTCTCAACCGCGTTGCGTTTTTCCCTTCCTACCATCCAACCGACTGATACTTTATGGGTCAACATCGTCTTCCCGAGCAGCGGCTCACTTCTCCTGGGGGTTGTTTATCGCTCCCCATCAGGCACACAGGATGAATGTGAATCACTTCTGACTCAGCTTCGCGACCTCCGCCCCACCTACACTTTCTCACACCGTATCCTGGGCGACTTTAACGCCCCAAGTTTCGACTGGTCCAGATGCCACTCTAGAGCTAGAATGTTTGATTTACCCCTTATAAACCTCTTCAATGAACACTCGTGGCACCAACACGAAGTAACTCCCACGAGACACCGTATCGGTCAACGTCCCTCTTTGCTTGATCTTGCGATTACCAATGAAAGACGACAGATGGACATGATCTCATATCTAAGTCCTGTTGGTAATAGTGATCACCTCCGGCTATCCTTTGACTATAATATCCGCTGGTCAAATTGCAGGTCCTCATTCACCATGCTACGCTCCTTCAAAATGTCCGATTTCTTTCTATTACGAGAATTACTAACCAACAGGCTGGGCTCCAGCAATATTAATAATAATAATCATAGATGTATATTTAACGAAGCCCGTGAGACATACCCAATGCATGATCAAATGTTCAGAGCGGGTATACGTACAATAACAGCGTAAGTACATAGGTAGACAATAATAAAATTTAAAAAATGGTGGGGATCAGAATGAAAACACAGAGTGAAAGAAACACAAACCGGACAAGATCATAGACAAATTTATGAAGGATGGAGGATGCAGCAAAGAATAGTAAGTAAGTAAGAATAGTAAGTAATAGTAAAGCTGGACTGTAAAAGATTGGCTGTACGGCAAAAGTGTGGAAAATACGAAGAGGAGGTCTGTAATGTAAATGCTGCTCGATGGTACAGGCATGAGGACAGGAATAGAAAGTGAGGAACACAGCAGAATAATACGTCGGCAAAGAAACATGTTTCACTCTACCCTGCAATACAACTCACTTTTGGAGACAAGTTCATTGGGTTCGGGGCTTCAAAAAATCAAGAGTGGTTTGGTTTATTTGGATGAATTAGGCGTTGGTTGCTTTGATGTGGGACTAACTACACGCTAGACACCTAACCTGAAAACACCACGTAGGTGAGGCAGGGGGTGTAATCATCAACCTGGTCCGAAACGCGGACGCGTGTAGTCAAAAAGGTGGAAACAGCCGTGCCCAACAACCATGGCCGGAGCCAAATTGTTCATTGCGGATGAGGACCTCAAGCCTTCGTCAGTAAAATGGTCAATTAATCTAGCAGACCACGGCACTCGCGGTCTGAAGGCGGACGAACAGAAGTGGGAAAGTTGGCTCCGGGAGCCACCATTCCTGAGCGGCTAAGGAGAGATTCCTCCCTTCAAACTGGTCTCCACTGAAGAAATCGAAGGGCATATTGAGCTTAAGCGCACAGTGACTATCAAACAAACAACCACCGTGATGAGCGTCAATTTTCTTTCTTATCATTCGCCATAGTATAAGCTGTTACGAGAAGCAGCTTGGTTGAGGCGCATTACACAATATATCAACGTAATGTTTGGAAAGAAAGGTACCTTGTAACTACAAGGTACAAGGACGTTCGACAGAGGAGATTGAGCTTGCATACGACGATGTTGTGCGTCTAGTTCAAGCAGAATCGTTCTCAGACGATCAGGTTTCGCTAATAGACCCCAAGGGGCACGTGCACAGAGGTAGCCCCCTGCGTAAATTGTGCCCAATTTTAGTAAATGGAATGCTTCGAGTTGGTGGTAGACTGCGGTACGCGCACTTACCACATGACGCAAGACACCCAGCTATCCTGCCCCCGAGACACCATGTAACCGAACTTCTCACTTTCATGACCAGGAAGGTCATTCAGGGCCCGAGCACATGTTATCTGAAATTACGAAACGGTTCTGGATAACCAAAGATGGTGCAGCAGTAAAGAGAGTTCTGAGCAAATGCATTCACTGTCGTAAGCAACTGGGCAGGCCAGGGTGTCAGCTAATGGCTCCATTGCCTATAAATAGAATGAGTCGCCAATTGCCACCATTCCACTCAGTTCGTCTAGACTATTTCGGACCATTTTATATAAAGCGGGGTCTGTCCGTGGAGAAAAGATACGGATGTATCTTCTCCTGCATGACCATGAGAGCAGCACATCTAAAGGTAACGCACTCATACTCAACGGAATCATTCATTATGGACCGGTTCATAGCTCGCAGAGGTAAACCAGAACACATATTGAGTGATAATGGATCGAATTTTGTCGGAGCGACTAATGAACTGCGGGCTTGTTTGCGATCTTGGTCTCAGGATAAAATACATAATCATCTACTTAAGGACGCGGCACAGTGGCACTTCAACCCTCCTAACGCCAGCCATAGAGGGGGAGTTTGGTATGGGCTGATTAAGATAATAAAGAGAATACTGACGGCCCTCCTCAGTGCAAAACAGGTGACCGACGAAATGTTACTGACGGCCCTGGTAGAGGCCGAACGAATAATGAATAATAAACCACTCGTTCCGCAATCAGTCGATCCGCAAGCTTACAAGACACTCAAGCCACAGATGCTGCTGACTATAGGGCGATGCGAGTCGAGTTCTGAGGTTAAAACCAAGCTAGATCGTCACAATCGTAGACGGTGAGAAGTGCAGGATATTGCAAATTGCTTCTGGAAGCGATGGACGAGGGATTACTTGCCATTACTTCAAATCATATCCAAATGGTATACAAGGCAGAGGGACTTTCCACCGGGAGATTCAATGATGGTGGTAAAGGAAAACAAACTCAGGAATGAGCGGCCTTTGGGTCTTATACAACACACCAGAAAAAGCGAAGATGGAATGGTGAGAGAATTGGAGGTAAAAACCACTAGTAGATCGTTCAGGAGAGACGTCAGAAATTTCTGCCTTCTATAAGGGGTCCTGGAAAATGTTCCTCGTGGTGAGCATGCAATTGTTTGAATCCAGCAAATGATACCTCTTTTTGCTTATTGTATTTTGCGATCCTCCCGTTTTCCCGCTTACTGAGACAAACTGTTCAATTCCTTATCACTGGCGCTTATCATGGAACCTCCGGTCTGTTTTTTTACTCTTCACGTTCGTCACCAATATGCCCCTATCGTTTTACGTCTCTCTCTAAAAATTTCGATACTTCAAAGCCAACACTTTCTGTATCATCACACACTTGACAATCAACAAAATACACAATCCAGAATGTTCGGCTGTTCAAATTAACTGGAACATTTGAGCAAAATAATGATGCTTTGACACTTTGACAAGAAACAGCGAATTCACGAACGCAATCAGCAGTTATTAATTTGAAAATGAATATCTCGGAGCAGAACGCGCCACGATTGGACATACTCGGCTAATGAACATTTGGGTTCATTGGGAACCTAATCGACACGGAGCACTTGGACTCCATATTCGCCTAATAAACATTCAGATTTATTGACCGTCAAGCTATTCCAGCTTGATTGACGGACTCACAAATATTCCTGATGTCATACACAATACCGGCTTGTGAAACCCGCATATGAAGCGTCACGGAGTCGAAACGTTTTCCGGTCGTTCACATGGAATTACCATGAAGCAATAACTAAACCCAAACCCTTGGGCAATCTCCTTTTCATTCTTTAGTCAGACGTTTGTTTACGAATCGCGGTTCCTGACCATTTATTCTTGTGTTATGTTTTATGCTTCATCTTAATATTACTATTACTCTTACCCGAGGCTAACTGGGAGGACGGCACTGCCTCAAGACGCAGCTTCGGCGAAATCCTGGTCGGTATGGCACGAGAAAAAACCCCGATTCAGCATGTCAACTAACAAATGCGCTGGAGGGGAGGGTAACCTCATCGACTCTTGAACTTGTGATAACCAGGTTCATGTCTGAGATTTAGAATCTAGAGATCCAGGAGCCGATTAGTAAAAGTGATCATGGATTCCTCAAGTTTCGCATGAGTCCAGGGGGGAACTAGTACCCTACTATTATCAACGCCAATGCCATCAAGTAAATCCTCAGGACATTCAAAACAGGGCTGAAAGGCTTGTTTGGACATTGGAGGGGGAGTAGGACCCGGTAGCCGAACAATGGGATCTTGTAAAAAGTAATCTTCTGTGGATTACAGATCAGATGGCACCCCTCTGAAGGGTTAGAAGGCATGAAACGCCCTCGTGGTGACGTGCTTGTCTAGGGTGAGCGCTCAGATGCGGAGGGGTAGCTTGGAGACGCTACCTACAGAACAGAGGACATGGATCTCTGTTGCACTACATGGTGAAATGTTAACGAGCAACTCGTCCCCAAAATGAGTGCAGTCAAGCATACAAGGTGAAACTGGCACGGAATGCACGGACAAACCCGAAGTCATACTTCAAAAAAGTGTAATCCAAAACCCGGCTCCGAAAAGAAACAGGGTGCATTAAAAACGTGCAGGGAGAAAGAGAATCGTCAGAAGCGGATAAAGCAGAGGCATTGTTCTGCATCTTTCAATAGGTATACCGGGAGGATCCAGGAGCACCGGGACAGCAAGGGACAAGAGGGCAGACAACCACGCCTATGGGCGATAACACCATAAGTATCGACGACATTCAGCGCATTTTCGAAGGATTAGTGGTTAGGAAGGCTGCAGGTCTTGACGAGATACACCTAGCTGTACTCAAACCGCTGGCGAGACGGCCAGATGTGCCATTGAGCAACCCCTGCATTTCGTGTTGAAGTTTTGAAAATGCTTCCAAACCCATGATGATTCAGGGTGATATATCTCTATCTGTGTTGCTTCTCTATTGACATTTCTCAATCAAAAACACACACATTATTCTTTATCTGTTAATGCGATGCTCGGTACATTTGAATTTTGCGTGGCCAGAGAAGTCTTGAAGTCTTGAAGTGATTCACGGGTTCGAGGCTGTTGCCCAAATGTCCCGGGTCCTTGAAAGGTATCTGTGTTTTCTTTTGGTTTGAATTACCACTAGAACAGAGAGTACTGAAAAGGGATTAGTAGGGTTCCCCGCTCGAGGCGAGAAATAAAATGAAGACTTGCGAACTCTTATATAAATTCAAAAAAAAATTTTTTTTTCTTTTTATTGGGGAAGAGTAGATAAACCTAAGTGGCGGTCAAGACGAAGTTTAAAGACCGCCTTGCTGGGGGCGCTGACTATCTCTTCTGGAAGGTCATTCCATAAGGATATCACCCGGAAGGTAAAAAATGAAGTACGTAGAGTGGTTCTCAAGGCCAGACTGTTCAGTTCAGTTCAGTTCAGTTCAGTTCAGTTTGCACAGGACGATGTCTTGAAGTCTTGAAGTGATTCACGGGTTCGAGGCTGTTGCCCAAATGTCCCGGGTCC